CTTAGATCCAGTCAGGTGAATCTTTGGTTTGTGCCTCATTCAAATTCTTCTTTAGAGGTGGGTAAGGTATGCTTTTCAACAGATCACATTCCACAGGTTAACAGAATAGCCTTGTTGCAATTATTTTTATTAGGAACAATTATAACCTTTCTCTAGTGCTGTACCTTGTGAAGAAGGTAAAACAGGTATTATTGTCATCTGCATATTCCAGAAATGTAGAGAGCTTATGGTTACTTGCCCCCAGGTCATCCAACTATTAAGTGACAGAATATGCAAATTACATAATTAGCCACATCATGCAAATTATACACAAATACACACATGCAAAAACCAACTGACATCCTTAACTGCATTTCTAAATCAAGATTTAATGTTTATATAAATCCAGTTTACACAAAAGTGAACTAACATCCTAATTTATACCTTTAAATCAGGATTTCAAGTTTATTTAAATTTAGTTTATCTGAAAGCTAATGAACATGCTGAACTACATCTTCAAATCAAAATTTTAGATTTATATAGTTTTAGTTACATTTTAGAATTGATGATTCCACTCAGAGGTCTGTAGACAACACCCCCTTTAAAATTCTGAAGGACTTCTATGGTTACCATGATAACCTTTCTTAAATTTAGGAAGAAAAACTTCCTAAGGAAAATTATATATTATGTATGGTAAAAAGTATACAGTATATATTGACTAAGAAAGTCTATGATATATAAAAAGTACAAAATATAATACATTAGATGATACTTACATTTAAAGTTATGCATTATAAAATTGCTAGTCAAAATATATACATACATGATTTTCTAAACCTCAAAAATGAGAATTATGAACATACACTTTTGTGCATGCAGTTTCTTGTTTTCTTTTTATTTCTAAGAACAAATTTGGCTTGTATACTGTTTAAGCTATTCTTTCACCCTGGAACCTTCAGAAAGGCTCTCTTCAACCCCCCTCCCCAATTTGGGTAGATTTTTAAAAACTTTTTAATTTTGAAATAATTATAGATTTACAAGGAATTATAAAGACAGTACAGAGAGATCTTGTATAACAAGTTTCCCCAATAATTACCATTTATTTAACTATGCTATAATGTCCGAACTCAGAAAATGACATTCATACAACGTATGCATATAGTTCCATGCCATTTTATCATATATGTAGATTCAAGCAAACATCACTGCGATCAAGATATAGAACTATCCCATCACTAGCCCTTGCAGTCATATCCACTCCTCCCTTCACCATCCCTAACCTCTGACTGATTTGTTCTCCATCTCTATAATTTTTCATTTTAAGAATGTTATATCAATAATGGAGTCATATTGTGACCTTTTACATGAGCTTTTTTTCACTGAGCATAATGGCTTTGTGATGCATTTGATTTGTATATCATTCTTATCATTAAATAGTATTTTATGGTATGAACACATCACAATTTGTTTAACCATCTGGGTGGATGCTTTTAACTAAGGGTCTGAACTAGACTCAGAAATGGAAGCATGAGGAAGAATCTTTACCTACAAGGCATCCTTCTGGTACTCAGGGGTTTTTCTCATGAAGGAAGTAACTGAAGAGGGGAGAAGGTAAAAGTTAAGTGTGATTAATGCAGTTTTCAAATTGAACTTAACAATGCTATAGAAAAGAGATTTCTGGAAGATGGCTTAGGTCCTGATTTTCTGTTTGAATATTTTGTTCTTAGAAGTCAAATTTTACACAAGTACCAGTGTCCAAAGGACTATAATTAAACCAATCAAGCCAAAGCGCAAAGCAATAACCAACTCACAGATCTAAAACCAAATCTATCTTAAAAATTTTGGTAGCTCATCACTAAATATATAAGTTCTAATAAAGCTATCAGAATAATTTATTTTTAATCAGTGACTTTCTAGAGCAATATAATCTTGATCAAAAATGTGAAAGAAAAGTAAAATTAATTACATCTGCACCCCTGGCTTTCCCTGTTGTGCTCATTTTCAGTCATATTTCCCTATAGTTTTGTATGAAATTTGGTTTGGCAACTAAAAATCCTAGTCATTGCTCTCCTGATTAAGTAAATCTCATCCTCTGATTTTCATTCTGATTGCTAGCAGGTTTATGGAGTTAATTATCATTTTTATTGCTATTTATAACTTGAAAGACTAGTATGAAAATCTCTAGTGGAACAATTAAGACTTGTTTGTCATGAGAATTGTGGAATATATCTTATTTTCAAAGTGGAGTTTTTCTATTTTTATTAATTATTTTAAAAATAACTTACTTGATGTAAATGTGAAAATGTGTCCATATTATACTACATCAATGATGGGTAGAACTGCATTTTTGTGATTCTAAGTAAGAATTCATATAATAAAGGCTTGCTACTTACATTTAAAGAGCTCTTAGAAATCAATAAAACTCAGGTGCCCCAAAAAACACCTGCTTTACAAATAAAGAAATATAAATGATTAATAAACATTTTAAATGTTCAATCTCAATAGTAATAAAGAAGATAGTCAAAATAACATTAAGATAATATACCACATTTTCAAAGATTTTTTTCTTCTGTTTTTAGTTACAATATCAAGTGTTGGAAAGTATTCAGGGAAATAATCACTCATGCTCAGCTGAAACGTAATTTGGCAATGTGTGTCCAAACCCTTAAAATTTAGCAAACCCTTTACCCTGCAATTGTATCATAAGGAAATGATACTGGATATGTTAAACATTTATGTACAACATTATCACTACATTTTTAATATGAAAAATTAAGGAAAACCTATGACTAAGGACTGGAGGTAGGTTAAATAAATTATGGTATACTTATATATAAAAATCCTATGCACTAATTAAAAACTTATGTTCTGAAGAAAACATAATTGATGTGAATACACACACACACATATTTTTAAAGATTTTATTTATTTATTTGACACAGAGAGAGAGACAGCTAGAGAGGGAACACAAGCGGGGGAGTGGGAGAGGGAGAAGCTGGCTCCTGGCTGAGCAGGGAGCCTGATGCAGGGCTCGATCCCAGCACTCTGGGATCATGACCTGAGCTGAAGGCAGACACTTAACGACCGAGCCACCCAGGTGCCCCTTATATATTTTTTTAAATAAAAGTAATTTATATAGCAGTTTTAGTTTGGGATGCCTGTAAGTGCATGTGTCTCCACGTTTTGTTCATGCTAACTATTGTTTCATGCTGACTATTCACAGAACATAAGAAAAAAAAAAACACCACTGCGAGATAATATGCCAGAATAATAGCAGCTATGGTATTTCAGGTATTTTTTCTAACTTATTGTACTTATTTTTTTTAATTTATACAATCATTATGTATTACTATCATAATCAGTATTAGAAAAAAACAATAAAAGTTATTTTAAGAAGCCAGAGAAAGATATTTCTTAGTGAATTTGACAAGAATGATAACTCTAAGATGAAACTATTATTGCACACACTATGAATCCTTATAAAGAGCGCAACTTAAATTAACTAAAGAAAAATAATACTGTTGATCCTAGAATGGTGACTAGAAACATGACTCATGTATTCATTATGTTAAGCACAAATGTGAAGACTTGCAGCATAGAAGAACTCAGTGGTTCTCAGACTTTTTTTATTTCATTGGGAATGAAAGTCTCTCTCTCCTTATTCTCTATGTTCTAACATGTGATTCATCTAGCAGATCCCTCTACAACCACTTATGTCTTTGACTTAATAACTGATAAGCTGACCAACTATAAACTGTCTTGGTAAATCTGTATCTATTGCTTCTGCTTATGGGAATTCCAAATCTCAACTTGCATTCTCTTGTGATTCCAGAATGCATTTGTCCTATGTATTTACCAAAGGGTCTCATAAAATCTTGGAGTAAGAAGGCAAAGTTAGAAGGGGACTCTTCCTATGTAGGGAGGCAGGTTACTTAACAATTTCTGCTCAAATATCCTGCACATTCAAGAAAACAATTCCATTTGTAATAAAACTTCATGCCTACACACACTCTGCATTCCAGTCATATCAAAGTATTCAGGTTCCCAAGCAACTCCATGCACTTCCACCAACACATGCCTTTGTTCATGCTTGTTCCTCAGTCTGGTACGTCCTTGCCCTTTGCATCCTTCTGTTAAAATCCAATTCATCCTAAGTGCGTAGGAGCAGTTCTATTATTCTATTATTGCCTTTTCCTTTTTCCATATTGCTTTGTTTCAGGGTCAATTCATGCTCTCTCTTTTGCTTTCTCTGAAGAATAATAGGTCTTTTTCATTTTTTATTTACCTAACATGTAACTAAGGGCCTTTTACTCAGTAGACTCTCAGAAAACATTTGGTGAATTAATATGGCCTAGTAATCTAACCCTACACATGCTTTTGGGTTTAATCATCCTCTCAGATATGAAAAAGTCATTTGGAATGATGATGGACATCTGAATTCTAGAACATTTTAAAAGACCTATAATACTGAAGCAACCTTTGAGTCTGTATTCTACCACACACAGAGAGAACCTACTTTTTTCACATAATGATGAATTTAATGACTTCTAAGTAATTTTTCATTCCCATGAAAAATTACCATCTATGAAGTGTTTGGAAGCAAATTTTTGCTATTCTTTTTCTTTTAACCTTGTTTGTATTAATAATTTGCTTAGCAAATGTTTAGCACATTAGAGTAATCATAAATTCCAAAAAGTGAGATTGACTCATTCAACATGTATTTGTTGATCACTATCTGTGAGATACAAGGTGTTAATAGCAGTTAGCTCCATCACCCTGCCCAAACACACACACCCTTATCCTCATGGAGCTTACCTCCTAGTAGGGAGAATCAGACAACAAGAAAAACAAATAAAATATATACTAGGTATATATTACTGTGATAAATATTACAAAGAAAAGTAAAACAATGAAAGGATATCAGAATTTGGTGGCAAAATAAATCCAAATGACTAGACTTTATGTATGTCTCCTTTTAAATTCTTTGTTTATTCTGTTTCCTGTTCCTTGTGTCATTCTAGAGTCTCTACATTTGTTCAGTTATAAGACAAAACATGATGGAACCTAAATTGAACTGAAAGCACAGGGTTTTAATGCTGCAATATGGTCAAGACCATATGAAGAGCTTGGAGAAATAACGAGGAACACCTCACATGCTTGTGAAGAGGTAAATTCATGTAGCTTACTGGAGTCAATAAAGTAAAAGTCAGATAATTGTTTTTTATTAGTTTTCTTTTTGACAGAACAACATTAAACATTTTAGGAATAAATATTTGAGTCCAATAATATAGGACCTATATTACAAAGCTATTGGGATTAAATATCACTGAAACACATTAATTTTGCATGGACGATTTTTCCACGATGACCATCCCAGGATTGCTTCTTTCCCTTTAAACCCTGAACCTATCCCTGCCAATGACTAATACTACAAAATAGGTGTGTGGAAGCGGAAGCATGCTGACTTTTGGAGGGAACCTGCCACTTATCCCTGAAAAAGATGATCCAGGCCTTTGATTGGGCATTTCTGAGAGGAGACAGGTAAAAGGGAGAGAGAAAGCAGGAAAAAAGGCAGGGGAGAGGGGAAAGAGAAGAACAGAAAAAGAGGGAGGGATAAAGAAGGAAAGAAAACATCAGAAGTAGAAAGAGAAGGAAGGATAATAATAGAATTGTGGCAAAATCTAAAAGAGATAACATACCAGGATGTAATATTATCAAGTGCTCAATAATTAACTTTTGACTTTCTGCTTGTTTCCAAGAAAATTCTAATTTTTTTATTTACAAAGTTTCTGGTCAACGACAATGCCCTGGGTTTAAGTCTATCATTGACTTCTGTAAGCTATGTTCCCCTTTGGCATTAGCTGTTACAGAAATTGTATCTAGATATTGGTTTGTTTCCAGAATTATTTCTTTACTTACTCTAGTATCTATTGCCTAATACTGTTTTAGTTCTCGCTTACCCTTTCTTTATATTAAATATATATGTGGCATCCACTGAAAATTTTCACTGCTAAAGGTCTTTATATTTTATTTTATTTTTTTTAAGGTCTTGATATTTTAAAGCTTATACAGCTCTCTCCTGAATTAGTTTTAAAACATTTACACCATCGTTTCTCCACACTACTCAACAGAGCCATAATATTCACATTTCATTGATGTAGGGATGATTATTATTTTTTTTTTTAAAGATTTTATTTATTTATTTGACAGAGAGAGACATAGCGAGAGAGGGAACACAAGCAGGGGGAATGGGAGAGGGAGAAGCAGGCTTCCCGCGGAGCAGGGAGCCCGATGTGGGGCTCGATCCCGGGACCCTGGGATCATGACCTGAGCCGAAGGCAGATGCTTAACGACTGAGCCACCCAGGCGCCCCGATGTAGGGATGATTATATGTGTGGTGCAACCCTTGTTTCTCAGTTGCTGTTGAGATCCAGTGGGCTGACTGATAATAAATGGGTCATTTTGACATAAGTAGCCCATATTTGGCTTGTATGATCCAGTTCCCACCTGCTATTAGAGTCCTGAAGCATTGTAAATATTGTCCTCGCCATTTCAGAACTTCCGGAACTCCCGAAGGGCTTCTAGCACATGCTTCGTAATAAGATTCGTCAAGCATAGCATGGCTTCTGACAGGCACTGCTGCCATTCCCTGAGTCCCATGTGCATGATCTACTAGGTCTGCACAAGAGGGCTGCCTATGCCACACTCTCCAGCTTCAACCTCTGGTACCGTTGCCGCCTCTTTTGCTGGGGCTGCTCAAGTACTGCAGTGTTTACGAAGCTGAAGTGCCAATGAATCCTGTGGCAAAACAGAGCCAAATGCTTCCTTCCTTCCTTCGTCCTACTCTGTGTCTCCTCTTCTCCCCTTCCGTCCCCTCCACTCTCTTTCCTTTAATGCAGTACCTTGCAACAGGCACCCAAGCGGTGCTATTTGTTCCTTAATTATGGCAGTTTCTAGTGAACACAGATCTCTCAGTTTTTATTCACAACCCTCCTCCTCCCTAGATTCCAGATATGAAACTAAAGGAATGACAGACTCTTCTACGGTTAGAATCCCTCCACCAATGGATATGGCGGTAAGGACAAATCTATGTTGCCTGACTCCCACTCTTTCCTTAAGGAGAGGCTGGTTCTACCAGTCTCTGCAACCCTTAAATCAATAGACCCCTGCTTTGTCTAACTCAGACAGGTCAGGAGACATGCCCACAAGGATCTTGCTCCCAGCAGTAGACACTGTTGCGGCATAAACTAGGAGCACCATCCCACAAGATAGTTGAGGTGTTTGTCTTCCCATTTCCTGTCTTTTGGCCACTTCACTGTTTTAGGTTTTGACCACCTCACAATTTTACATTTTCTACTTCTTGCTAATCATATAGATAATTTTCCAGTGCAGTAATTTCACCATTTATTTAATTCCAAGAGATATTATACTGAGAAAGAGAAAACGATTATTTGAGAAATATCTTACAGACATCAATAACCCATGCTACTCATATCTTCCATTTTAAAAGCTAATGGATAACTGACTCACTTGGCAATTAAATCTGAATTATACTACTTGTTTGCTATCTAACAATACTTCATTTTGACTAGTTAGTATGTTTCCAAAATGGAACTGAATCCTATTACACACAATCGGCTTTATTATTTTCATACTTAAAACTAAATCATGACAAAGCAGACTTCAGCTAAAAAACATATTCATTTGCCAGTCGTTTCCTCTGATAAATCCCCAGTTTCACAGGGTGCCTGGAACATGTGCTAAACATGTTGGATTACTGAGTAAATGAATGAATGCCTCAACCAATCATTCAATCAAGTTTTCCTAGGATACACTATAATCTTGTTAATTCAGTCTTCACCCATCCCCATGATTTATTCAGATTTCTGTTAATGTAAATAAATTCTACAAAAGGATTTCCCTAGCATCTACTCTTATTTACACATAATATGTAGGGACCAGCCTCAATTCTTAGGTGCTCCATTCTGTATGCTAGGAGTTGTTTATAAGGAAGAGTTAGTTCACTGATTTCTTCCATGATATTCTACCACACCTTCTCCTTTGCTCCCATTTGCTCTCTTTCCCTTCACTATCATTGGTCTGGCTCTCCACTTCCTCCTCTGTTTTACATGTCCAGTTCTCATGACCATTTACTACTCTGGGCCTTAACCTTGAACTCTATTCTTTTGAATTCCTGGTACAAATTCTCTCCTGATGGGCTATTTCCTCAGACATATCTATACAAATCAGGTAAGTCTGAGATTCCCTCTCCCTATCAGTTGCCCCCTATCAGTTGCCCCCACCAGGCCAGCATAGTCCCAGAGGCAGACAGATGGATGCTATGCAGGTCTGTCTCTCAACAGGAGATCTAAGAATCTGCTGATTCAGAATTACCTGCAATGATTTAAAAGTGAAATTTCTCATCCTCCTGTTCCCAAGAAACATGTAACTGGTAAAATTGAAGATTACATCTAAACGCATGAGAACATACCCTTGTTTTTTCTTTCTTTAAATTATCATATCCTGATTGATGTGAATATAATAATACCCCCAACTTTCTTTAGATCAAGTACTACTAGGGTTAACTTCAATTTAATAATTTCAACTTGTGTGTAAGAAAGCACTCAAGCTGGAATAACTGGCTTACATTGTAAAGCCCATCTGCACATTTGTGAATTCGTCTGAACAAAACGTGAGAATTCTCTGTATGTGTATCCTTGGGCATAGTTATGTATATAAACCATTCTTAAGCTGTCAAAGGGCTTTGTGGATCAGAATTTTCTGTTAGGTTTATAAAAACTTCTCCCCTAAATAACTTGAGGCAGCTTTTTGCTAACATATTTTGAGATTCACAGATTTAAGTTCTGATGTCACTGTACGTCTTGAACTAAGTTTTCCTGGATTTCCCTAAGAGTGGCATTTTCCAGCCCAAAGCCCCATAGCATTCTGTTTATCGCTTAGAGTACTTATCACATATCTTGAATTACATTTGTTTTCATTTATTTTATCTTGATGGCATTTCAAGGCAAACCACTACCACCTGTCAGCAAAATGTGAGGGTAATGAAGCTGAAAATCAGGGGAGGGTCAGGAATTGGATACTGAAGAATTATTATCAAAATGCAAAACTCATTCATGTTCCTTTCATGGAAGCAGAGTTGAAGATGTGGCTAATGGAACAAGACACATTAAATCTATATAAGGCCTGTGCAAGAATCAAAGACCATGGGGAAACATGAGGTCACAGTAGGAGGAAGCTAATAAAAAGGCACATGTGGAAAGTAATGGTGGTATTCACTTGTTCTATTCAGATTTATTGTCATAGATAGACTCTCATTACCATTTTGAGTTTTCTTTCTAAGGTCCAGGGCCTCTCATATTTTACTCAGTCTTAATGAAGTGGTCTGCTTCATATAACAAGTAAAGAATCCTTTTCCTGTACTCCTATAACTCCACTGGTTATTCCTATTTTTTTTTATCTCCATAGAATTTAACACTTGCACATATAAAGTGATACATGTGAATGAACGAATTATACATACATTTTTTGCTTTTAAGGGTTAACTAAAATTTTTGACAGACACTGGTATTTGGTTGTGCATACTTGTATAATTTTCTGTGGTTGAAGTAGCAAGTTCTCCAATTATACTTTCTATTGCCTCATTAGTCTTTACCTATTAGCCAGTAAGTTTTCCTTAATGGGGTATTTAGGATCATTTTAGTGACGGTCATTTATAATAAAAAGAGACTATAGTAAACTCTTGCACTGAGCTTTATTGTATTATTTAATTCTCACTCCTCATCTGCAGGTGTTTATTTTCTTTTATTAACTGTATCAGAAGAGGCTAATTTGTATAGCGTTTACATGCTATTTTCCCCAGTGAGGTGTCTGCTGTCATGCTTCTGTGGCTCTATTATACCAGAAAATGATACTGCATTGCTTTCAATTGCTTTAATATAAAAATCAATAAAAAGAATTATATGGGGGGGGAAATCCCCTTACAACTGAGAATATGTAATAAACAGGAATGAAGAAAAATCTTGTACATATTTGATCAAACTTCTTTCTTCTTTTTTTACCTTTCTTCTTAAAAAAAAAAGTCACCTCCTTTACGTCTCAGAGGCAGAGCTGTGTTAGTGGTGTACCACTGGCTGAGTCATCTGTGGCTGTCACTGTGCACTAGTTAATTCTGCACAGTGCAGGGCAGGGAAAGGACCCATCAGAGAGAGTCTACAGCATAATTAAGAAAGACTCTTCTCATTCCACTGCTCTCCATTATCTCTTCTTCTCACCTTGCGCTGTGTTTTTCTTCTTTATGAAATGGTAGTAGTTTTTCAGTCTCGGTGAGAAAATAACAATTCAGCTAACCCCAAATGATTTGTGCACCAAGTTCCATGTATGTGGCCCAAGAGAGATATTTTGCCTAGTCATTTTCAGGCCAAATTTGAGGCAGATAAAAGCAAAACTAGAATAATGTTTGAGGTCAAGAATTGTTAGCTGAATTCATTAAAGAAATTGGATACTGTTTGATTAATTAGAGGTTTTTTATTCCAAGATGGCTTTTTTCCCCCCTCACTTTCTTCAGAGATTTTTATCTTCATAAACCAAGCATTTTGTTTAAAATAATCTCTATACCCAACGTGGGGCTGGAACTCATGAGCCTGAGATCAAGAGTCACATGCTCTACTGACTGAGCCAGCAGCGGCCCCTAAACTAAGCATTTTTGGTAAGGCATTATTGTTAGAGCTTTTTTTTGGGGGGGGGTAATACCCACACCAAGCCATGATTTGAAGTGAAATGAGACCTCACTTAAATCCCACTTCGGTTCAAGGTCTCCAAGCTGGCAGTCAGTCAGATTATCAACATATGACAAATATTTACTTCCTTGTGTGTGTCTGTGTATATAGCAAAGTTACAGGTACATAGTATGGTAAGTTTGAATATCTGCTTCAGGGATATGGCTTCATGTTGTAGCTATTTTATAATGGAATCCCCAAGCATGCACACACCACCAAAATACTTTTCTGTCTGTCTTCTCATTTCAGTATTGAAAATGAATCCTACAATATACTCCCAAAAGTATTATATCATATGTTTTTTGGTAAATCTATATATGGATGTATAATCACCCAAGATTTTTAAGATTGATATACTTGACTAGTAAAGCATAGATTATTAAGTAAAATCATATATATGAAAAAGCATTATAAACTATAATTATACAAAATATAAGGTGTTACTAAATTTAAGTTTGCAATGGGACATACACTTGCGGTGTTTGTTTCCCCTAACTTCTGGACTCTTTTTGTTCTTCATAGACCATAATGGAGTCATTTTAGAAGACAGATTTGAGAGAAAGCAGCAAAAAGATTTTGTCATACTCTAAATCAGGAGAAAAGTCATGTTTATCTAAAGAAAAAAAAACAGATCAGGATGGCTCAAAAAAAAAAAAGGTGGGGGAGGGAGCTTTTGCTAAGGCCACTTGGGAGCCATTCATGTGGGTGGTGGTCATTTACTTTTCAATAAAACATGACTACTTTCCATAGCAACCAGATAGTGGATGGTACATGTGCTGCCTCTAAGATCAGTACTTTAATAAAGAAATACTTGCAGTGAAGAATGAACAAACACATAGGCACATTTTTATAATCTCATAATAGAAAACAATATCTTTTGCAAAAGCATTTATATTTTCCCAATTTTTAATACCCAGCTACTGTGTGATAATCAATACAATACGCTATAAGCCATTTGTCTTTCTTTGTGACTAGCTTGCCTTTGAAAATGATGATTTTTATTTGTGTGCTTGTTTGAACAGGATGAATGTTGCGTTTCAGAAGGCACCAAGTCGCAATGGGAAGGTAGCCTTTCTTCTTCTAGAGAAGAGAGTACAAAATGACTGAAGTTCCTGCAAGGGGATACAATGGTTCTTGTGATTCTCTAAGGTCTGTCCAGGGATATGGCTCACATATTGTCTCCTAATTTCCTTCAAGTTTCACAGAGGAAGGAGGAGCCTGAGAGGTTTTAATGAACATAGGGGGTAGGTTGCAGTGGTATGCTGAGGAAGCTGCTTTT